CTACGGTCAGGGTCAGCGACCGGAGAAGGCAGCCTGGCCAGCCCATGGGGGCGGCACTGGTCTACCACAGGCCCCAGCACCTGGTCGTAGACGCCACCTGCAGGGTCCTCCAGACGATGGGGGTAGGTGGCCAGGAGCACCAAGACTTCAGGTTCACCCTCATAACCCCTGCCTGGGTTTTGTCCCCAAGACCAGACCCAGGCAAAGACTCCTACTCCATGAGGGCCGCCCCCCCCGCCCTCCCCCACCCCGTCCTTCTGCTGTTCTCAGAAGAGGCCTCTCCCAGCCCGATGGGGAGGGGGCTGACTGGAGCCAGACCCCGACTTCAGGGTTCAGGTCCCAACTGCTATGTGCTTCTGCTGCCCCCACCTTGCCTGTGCCCAGGACAGCAGAGCTACCGGCTGCCTGCCCACATGCCAGGCCCCGTCGTTCCCATCCCCAGCCCACGTCCTGACTAGTGGCGGCCTGTCTGGGAGCAGGAGAACAAAGACAGATTGACAGTGGGGGGAGGCCGAGCCCTCGCACCCCAGCACGGCCAGGGGCTGCTGCCAGGGCCCAGAGCGGGGACAGCTCTGGTTCCGGGTGAGACCAGGCTCCCTGATGAATGGCCCGGCCCTTCAGATGACCCACAGGTTCTCCTGGTTTCTGTCACCAAATGAGGATGAGGGTGTCCATGCCAACCCGTAGCCCACTGGCAGGTCAAGGAGATGCCACCGTCACCCAGGAGTGTAACCACCCCAGGTGCCATGCCCAGCTGCTCACCCTTCCTCACAGCAGCTACCTGCTTGGTAGCCGGCATGGAGCCGGGATGGTGCTGGGATGGCTCCGCTTAGCGTCCCTCAGCTGCCTGCCCCAGGCGGCCAGTGCCAGGGCTTGTCAGGCCCGACCGGGCGAACAGGATCCCAGTGTGGGCACCGTGTGCTGCTGCACATGGCTCACTGGGACACAGGTGCCAGAGTCCCATATGGACTCAGTTTTCCCATCTGCAAGATGGCCAGGATGTTCTCAGGTGCTGGCCCTGGGTGGGCTGGCCCAGCATTGCCCACCGGGCCCCTCTTGGCTCCCCCCTCCACAGCCTGGGCCATCCTGAGCATGGACAGGGGCTGTGAGTACCCCCGAGGTGCACTGATTCTCTGGCCACTTGCATCTGTGCATGTAGGGGACAGAGTCAAGTGGGGAACAGAGGGCAGCCCTCTTACCCCAACCTCATGCCTTCTTCCCAATCCTGCGGCAGATCGACGTCTGCCTCCCCACCGCTGGGCACAGTAGCCATCCTAGCTGTACCTGGAGCGGGAACAGGGATGCAGGGGCACAGACAGTGGGAGACGCAGGCTATACACTGAAGCCACATCCTGGGGCCCACAGGACCCAGGACCAGGCACAGATGGGGAGATGGAGACCACCTCACACAGCTGGCCACATCCACTCCCACCGGGCAAGGTTTGAAACCGCTAGGGCTCAGAGAGACTCCTGTCCCATGGCTGTGTCCACCCAGACTGTGTGCATCTGGGGGGCTTTGGCAGGGTCTGGCGAGGGGCTGGATGGGCCTCTGCCCACAGCAGGCAGTGGAGCTTGGAGGAGACCAGAGAACCACCAACCCAGTTGGGACACCCGGCCCCTCCCCTTGCCTAATCCACGGGTGCTGGGTCAGCCTCAACTGGAGGCTTTGGTGTTGGCCCTCAGTGGCACCATCTGCAAAATGGGAAGCAGAAAGCCTGCCTCCACTTCCCCAGGGGGGCCTCTGCCTTCACTTGGAGAGAGGCCCAGGGCAGAGCTCTGGGGCAGCAGGGCCCCCTCCAGCCCAGCCCGTCACTCCCCTCTCCCACTTGGACCTGGGGTGCCCAGACTGCACCAGGCTCACAGCACGTGAGCGGCTCAGCACCCTGTGACCCTGCAGAGGTCTCGGTCAGCCCAGCTGGGGCTCCCGTCATACCCACCGGCTCCTGCCAGTCTCCACACCATCTCAATGGATGGGATGGGGGTGGGGGAAACAGTGGGCACCCCAGCCATGACCAGTCGCTCTTCTAGGGCAATGACCTGGCCTGGCCCTTCTCTCTGGAGTCTCCTGGTGCCTCCCCCGACTTCCTGTAGCAGGGAGCAGCCAGGAAGCGGCCGGGGAGGAGGTGGCGGCCTAACCCCAGCCCCCAGCCACCCTGTCCTCAGACAGCACTGGGAGAGGGGCCGTCACTGTGGCTGTCACACCCGGGCTATGGCTCTAGCTCTAATCTGCCAGAGGGACCCGCACTGCAAGGAAGCGGGGGTCCAGGCAGGCCCCTGGCCCCTGTCTTATCTGCATGGGCTGCTGCTGGCTCACATGGGGGGTGCCTGCCCTGTTTGGGGGCCCGGCAGGACAAGGCTGCCCTATCCCAAAGTAGTGGTACGAGGACCCTGAGCCACCCCCCAGTGGGCACTGTGGTAGTGACAAGGGACAGAGACAAGCAGGGGACAGGTAGCACCTGGGAGGGAGGGCAGCTCCCCCATGGGCTGGCCCATTCACACCCTGACTCCCAGGTAGCGCCCTGTGCCTGTCTGGTAGGGCTGAGTGTAGCCGGACTCTGCCCCATGGAAGGGTCAGATAGGCACAAAGGCTGACACACAGTAGGGGCTTCATCAAGGCTCTGTCAGAATGGATGACACTGAGGTTATAACTTAGCTGCTTTGTGCCTCAGTTTCTCCACCTTTGACATGGATGCTGTCTCCAGGACCCAGACCTTCCCCCGGGGAGGGAGTGAGGCTGGAGACGGTGGCAGGAGCGTCAGGCCAGCTCCCCCGTTCCTTTCCCTGCACATGCACCTGGCGTGTCGTAAGGGCCCAGGGTGTCATGAGTGGCGCAGGGGACAGGCCAGACTCCGGCCAGCCCTCGGAGCAGATGCAGACCTTAAGAGTGGGGACCCCAAGCAGCAGCTCCAGTTCTTCATTTAATTACACCTCAGAGAGGTGCTGTGTGAGGAAGGACGCCACAGCCTCTCACGGGAGGACAGGCACGGCTGCTCTGCTCACCCTGCCTGGTGGTCGCCATGGAGGTTACCTGGTACCCCAGGGGCTGGGCAGGTGGGGTGGCTGCATGAACAGACCCCATGCCGGCTCAGGTCACAGACTGTCTGAATGTGCAGAGGCAGACTGGGCAGGACCCTCCTTACTAGGTGAGGCTGGCAGGGTGGCAGCCTCCCTAGTGGGAGGCCATATGCTCACGTCTCCAGTGACGGAGCACTCACTCCCTTTCACGCACTCCCTCCTTCATACCCCCAGGATACCAGTCTCTTTGTCCCTGACATGTGTCCCCTGGCACAGCTCCGCGGTGGTCCCTGCAGACAGCCCTCCAGAGACCAGCTCCTGCCTGGCCTCTAGCCCCTGGCCCCCGCCACTATCCTGAAACAGGCATGGGCGTGTCATTTACAACATACTGTGTCCACTGGGCTGCGAATCATGCACCTATTAGATACCTGCTGTTTGCAAGACTGAAGTAGGGAGGGGTAAGGCGGGACTCTGGGCAGTGACTGAGAGCCAGGGATGTGAAGCTACCTCAGAGCAGCCCTGTGCCCACCCACAGGCAGCACCTGCTGTTATCCGGTTATCTTCCATTCTCCATGAACCCACAAACTTTCCAACCTGGAACAACTGCTTTGATGGAAGGAGAAGGGAGTCTATTTCAGGCAGGAGCTTGCAGGTCTCGAAGGTGAGGGGTGTGCAATTAGCTCCGACAGACAGCCTGTCAGCACCTCCACAAAGCCACCTCCACAAAGCCAGAGGCCTCCCCCAAAGGTTAACTCTTTGCTGCTTGGAGGCTGGGCTTTGATTGCTCCCAGGCAGCCGCCAGGTGGGTCACATCTCCCCAGCGATGTCCCCTTTTCCAGCCCACAGGGCCCAGGTGGTCCAGGGATGAGAGGGTGGGGCCGCGGCAGGGGTCAACTCCTGGGAGGCCCAGGAGAGACTCCTGCACCCACCTGGCTTTTTAAACAGCCGCTGCTGGTCTGCTGGGGTGTGGGGTCAGAGTAAGGATCCAGACCCGGATCTGGAGCCATATGCTGGTATCTGCTGCACAGGGCTCCAGGCATCCATTCCCCAAAGGTCCCCTGCTCAGATAGCACCCGGAGGGGGTTTGGAGCATTGCTCAGGTTCCTGCCTGAGCCACTGTCCTCACCCATCAGAGTGCAGATGTGGAAACTGAGGCCCAAGAAGGCCAGTGCCCTCCCCAGGTCCCAACTCTAGAAGGAGGCGCTGGGGATGGCCAGCTGGAACGTTCCAGCTCCAGCGCCTGCATGGGTGTGCCTGACCTCTGGCTGAGTTCCTGGTTCCTGGCCCAGGCGGGGTCTCTGCCACCCCCGCCACTCTGGTGCCACCGGCTGGGGCCGGCCATAGTGCTGTGGTTGCACGGAGGCTGGCCCCTGTGCAGCCTGAGACCCTGGGTGGCCAAACTCAGATACACAGGCCAACCCCACCCCTGTGTCCCACGCCTTAGATTATGGTCATTCCAGGTTCACTCTCCAGGGAGAGGGTGGACAGGTGGGACGGGGGGAGCAGGGACCGCCTTCCACCGCATCCGGAAGAAACACAGAGCTGCGACCGGTGCTCACCCGCCCAGTCCCACAAGGGTGAAGGCCAGACCCCGCGTGCGCCCACTTGCGCCAGAACGGCGAGAAATCACGTAGCCAGTGTGAGGCCGCAGGCCAGCGCACCTCGAGGCGACACACTGGCGGCGAAGCCAGAGCTGAAGTTTTATTTTCCCGACGGGGGCTGATTCACGGTCAGGATGTGGCAGCCGCAAGGCGGGGAAATCCCGCCTGCCCTGGAAGAGGCGCGGCAGAGCCTCGGGCCACCACCTTGCGGGCGGGGCGCCCCCGGGGTCCTCGCCCAGGAGCTGGGTCCCGGACGGCTGGCCGCCACCGGGGGACACACGCTGCTGCCCGGGGTCCCACTCTCCAGCCCCAAGCGCGGCTCAGCCTCCTCCCGGACTCAGTTTCCCCTGGAGCTCCTGGCGGGCCAGGAGGCCGCGAACTTACGGGTTTGGGGCAGAGGCCAGAGGACGGTGGTCAGGCCGGCGGTCCGTCCGGGGCCGGGTCGGAAGCTGCGAGCA